TCCAGTTATGTCCGACTCTAGGGCGCAGTGTTCATCCCCATTTCCAAGCCATAGAGCCAGCATTTGTCAGAAGACAGTTTCCGTGGTCACGTGGCCAGTGTGACTAGACACAGAACACCGTTACCTTCCCACTGAGGTGGTACCTATTTATCTACTTGCATTTGCATGCTTTCGAACTGCTAGATTGGCAGGAGCTGGGACAAGCGACAGGAACTCATTTCATCACATGGATTCTATTTTACGACTGCTGGTCTTCTGACCCTACAGCACAGAGGCTTCTGTGGTTTAACTTGTAGCACAACCACATCCCATTTAAGGCCATACTATATAGCCAATCAAGTAAGACATATACCAGATATTATATCTCAAGCCAATGAACTAGTTTGGTTGAATATGAGAACACAAGAATTGCAATTGAACCTTGTAAACATTATTTCCATATAAGATAATAAAAATATTGCAAAATATTTTGAAAATTCATCCTTTAAAAATATTCTTCTAATTTGGAAAAGATATAGAAAAACATTTATCCCACTAGTTTCTCCGTTGTATCCAGTGACAAAGTTAGAGAAATTCCCAGAAATCTAAAAGGATTGATTGAGAGCTTATTAAGTAAAAGATGAATTATTAGAATAAAAGATAATAAGGAAACATGAAAAATAAAAGCACAAAAGAAAAAAGAAAGTTACGAGTATGGATAAAATATCTTGATATAATATTTGATTAAGGTGGTAGACAAGGAACTGGACAAAAATAAATAGTAAATGTAGGGAATTTACAAAATATGAAGAAATTATATTACAAAAGGAAAGGGCAGGTGCAAACAAGGTACTAAAAGGGATATTAAGTAAAATTTATAGTACGTATTATTGGAAAGAGAAGATAAGGAGGAGTCATTTAAAATGTCATGGGAATTCGACTTGAGAGAAGAAAGAAGTACTAGTGCATGGGAAAATACATGAAATATTAAAATATTGAAATCTATGTCAGTAAGGATAAATTAATGAAATAAGTAAAATAAACAACTGTATGCCCTAAAACAGCACTTTTATCAGTATTTGAAAAGGAGGAAGGTAATTGAACAACTCAAGAATTAAAGTCCAACTTGTTAACAGCACCAAGACAGATTATTGTTAGGAACTGGAAAACAGCATATAATTTCCTGATAATTGATTGGTATAATTAAGCTTGAGATATAGCTATTTATGATAACATCACATGTAATTTAAAAGTTAAGAGTGGGGTAAAAGACAAAGATGAATTTATGGGTATATGGGGAGAATTAATTGAATTTGTATTAATGAAGGGTAAGGGGCAAAGCCCACTGCAAGAGTCAATACAGTTTTGGATGGGAAATTGAGCTCCACAAGGATAAATGGTGGCTACTTCCAAATATGAGGGGTAGCACTGTGTATTTAGATATTTGTTTATTAGATCCCCCCCCCGTTTTTGCTTTCTGTATGAATAAAATTAATATAAAAATTAAGATCTCCCATTTTCTTTTAATGTTGCAGAACATTTCCTAAGAAACATACAATTCTAAACAGTTGTTCTTAGAACTCTATATCTAATTTGTGTGATAATTCTCTGCTTCAAGCAAACCATCATTTAGTGTATTTGAAATCTGAGAAAAGTGAAATGGGAGATTTCGAGTATGCTTATTCAGCATAGCACAGTGACCTCACTGAGAAATGCTACTTCAGTAAAAATATGAAGAGTGGTGGTACAAGGAAGCCCTTTTCTGTTCATTTCCAAATAATTGCCAGCTCTGCAGCAGAATGAAGTTGCCATTTTTGTCGGCAACACTAAACAACATCAGGAGGTGAAAGCAGCCTTGAAGAGATGCAAGATTCAAATGGGCACTAATTTGCTAGGCTGGTTTGCATAACTAATCAGCCCAAAAGTGGCATGAAACAAAGTCTATGGCTAAATGTAATGCTAATTCAGCAAATTGCACAGAAAGGCAGAGGCACTAACTTTTTAGCAAGCATAGCACAAATGGTGTCAACCCAGAGAGAACAAAATATATCTCTTAATGCAGCGATGGCGAACCTATGGCACGCGTGCCACAGCTGGCTCATAGAGCCCTCTCTGCCGGCACATGAGCCATAAGTCACTGGATCGCTACCCCCTGAGAAGGTAGCTGCAGCCGCAGTGCTGGCGCTTTGATAGGTGGCGGGCCGGGATCTGGAGCACCTAGCGCTGATGGTGGATCCGGAGTGGGGTCTCAAGGCACCTCTGTGCCCAGGGTTCCCACTTCTGCCGCCACTTTCAGTTTCGCCACCACCTGGTTCTGCCCCTGCCGCCCACCGCCTGCTGTCACTGATGGTGGATCTGGAATGGGGTCTCTAGGCACCTCTGTGCCCAGGTTTCCCCCTTCTGCCTCCACTTTCAGTTTCGCCACAACCTGATTCTGCCCCTGCCGCCCACCGCCTGCTGTCCCCCCCCCCGTTTGGGCACTTGGGCCCAAAAAGTTCACTGTCACTGTCTTAATCGAAATGGAAGCCCACACTTTGTTCAGCATCATCAAGTACCCTAGGAAAGAGATACAGGCTGAAATCCCATTATTTATTGTAGTAAATTGCACTAAAGCAGCCCCTCGCTGAATCAATGTGGGTTTCATGAATCAGCTACTCTGCAAGTTCCACTGATTCACTGGGCCTACTCTACTTGTGACTTATTTTAGTGCAGTAAATCGCAACCAGATTAGACCTTTTTGAATCAACGAAACGTATGGAGGAGTTGATTCACCAGATCTTCACTTATTTAGTGGGCCTACTCTAGTGCAACTTACTACACTATGCAACAGGATTTCAGCCACAGTTAAAGAAAACATTAATTTTTGTCAATATTCCAGTACTACCAGTGCAACCCTAACCCAAAGATACCTCACCTCTAGGGTGGTGGGATTAGGCACACGTTTCTTCTGCTGTCATAAATACCACCTGCCCATAGAAACCTTTTCTATCAGATGATCTCAAACTATCTCTTCCTTCAAGGGCTGCTTGCCCTGAGATTTTTCTCTATATCTGGAGACACAGAGATGCATAGCAATACCCTGAAATTTCGGCTAGCACTCGGGAGGCTTGGCGATGCCACCCTCCATGATGACATTTCTTCTATTGTTTGGTCCTTGAAAAGGACCCATCCTGTTCTATATTTCTTTGTCCTTGTCCCACATTTTGTCCCACATTTTCCATCTTGCTTGCCTATCTCTCATATGAGCTCTATTCATTGTTATTTTTCTAGACTGCCCAGTAAAACTTTTGTTCTGACCGGAAATTGGTACCAGCTTCTGGAAAACCAATACCTAGGAAAGAAACCCTCAACAAATGTGCTTTTATGCCATGTGGTTTGTACCATGACCTGCTGTGTCACTTGAGGCCTGCTCTTATTCTCCCCATGCATTAAAGCAGACAACTTTTCTTAAATCACAGGTTGCATCCCCCTGGGCTGAACAATGTTTCTGCTTTATGAAACATTTTTAGTGAAGCTAGATTAATGTCTTAGAGATCAATATAGCAATAAAGTGAGTAAATGGGGAAAGTGTGCTGGTTTTGTTAATGTGCTTTTGCATGCATCCGTGTCTCTAAATATACCAAGTTCTCTCTTCCTGCTTCTAACTCAAAAGCCCTTTGCCATAATTGTTCGAGGCTGTTATGATGTATTTTTTTCACTATACCATAGTCATTGCTGTAGCATCCAAGCAATGCTTTGTAAGAACCTGTACCATCTTTGATCACATTTTAGTCTACATAGCATCTTTCCTACAATCAGTAAACAGCTTTGAAAGGTATGAGAAAGAAATTCTGTTCCTAGGACATAAGATAACAGTTTTCTTTTTTTCTGGAGTCTTCAAATAAATTATTCTGGAGTAGGCCCATTGATTTCAGTGTGACTGCCCAAGAGTAAAAGGTATGAGGATAATTCCTTTTTATTATCCTCCTACAAAAAAGAGCTTTTCACACTGTGGAATGTTTGGCCCTGTAGTCTAACTCTTATAGTGTACTCAAGTGTTTCAGTTATGTTAGGAATAGCATCCTGTACTGCCCACTTGGAGATCCTGTGCGCATGCTGTTTTTCTGACCTTAACATGTAGTAGCCTCTTCTCTGTTCTCTCTTCTCTCTCCCCCACTTCCTCACTTGTCTACAAAGATCTTATTGAGGGGAATGGCTTCCTAGGACTAGCTCAGTTACTTATGGTTAACTCATAAAGTCAGTATTATCTCCCGTGTGTTAGCAGCACTTCCTATTCTCAGTCAGGCATCTGTGTAGCATTGCAGTCATGCAGACTGCTGCAGTTATATCCATACAATCTGATTCTTGTTTCTCCATACCAGTCACATTGCCCAGGAAGCCACCATGACCTAACTCTAAATTAATTGACAGCAGCAGCACTCAACAAATAAGGCAATACAGAAATAGTCCCTAGATCTGAAAGTTTTAAAGAACATCTTGTGGTAAAGTATATACTGCAGAATAAAAAGCACAGAGTGGCCTATTATTATTTATACCTGTAAATCACTTTTATTTTGTACCAAGGCGATTAAGTTTTCAAGCCACAGCTGTAGTTCTTTATACATCTGCTCAGGATAGAATCAAATTGGTCTCAGTGGGGCTTATCCTAGCCCAGAAGCAACACAACACCTGGGCAGAAGCAAGCCAAAAGCATGTCACCGTGAGGGATGCTGGAACCTATAATCATGTGCATTGCTTAGTGTTCATTTTAAGCTTATGTTATTTATCAGCACAAATTCATTTTATTTCCACATCACTTAAACTGATGCTTTGAAAGTATTATTTTTTTATTAGTGAAGAATCAGTGCTGTAGACAAGAGTAAATCTATTTTTAGATATGAGCAAATGATGGTTTGTATTCAGGGGACATAATAACTGTAAGATGTGTCTCTTTGATAACTCTGTGATTAATTTTTAATGACACATTTACCTAGGATTTTGCTTTCCTTGAGTCTGAAAGGGCTCTTCTGGTTTCTTTGCAGGATTGTGGAAAAAGGATATTACAGTGAGCGAGATGCAGCTGATGCTGTGAAGCAGATCCTGGAGGCGGTTGCTGTAAGTATGAATTCATCTTACAGACTCAGAATAATCTTTCATTGATTTGGAGAGATTTATGGAATCAATATTTACATAGTTGTGGGAATAAATTCCCTACAGTTCTAGGATTAGGGTTTTTTGGTTTGGTTTTTTTTCAGCTGTGTAAAAAACAGTGATGTCTCTGCAACTAAAAATAATGTTCTAACATAAATCATCTTCTGTGCTACATATCTAAAAGATCCCTACCAGAATCCAATTTCTGTGAAAACTATTCATTTTTATTCTCGGTCTTTTCATGTCAAAGCTTCGGCAGTGGCTTTTAGTTATGTCCAGACTACTACCTCTGGCAAAAGACATGAATGGAATTTTTTATATAATTATTTTTAGATAAAAGACACTATGGGTTGGATCTACTTGTCTTATTCCACAGATGGTACTGCTTCTGTCAGGAAAAGAAGAACAGTTCCCCCCTCCCTGTTGCAGAAGGATTGTGTGGCTCTGTCTCTTCACCCTCCCATCTCTTTCACACATAAACATCAAACTCTTTAAGCTCCTCTCCATAATCAGTAAAGCAGCTTTTTAGGTCTATGTCTATGCTGTAGACCATGATAAGCTTCTTGTTCATTGTCAAATCACATGTGGGCTCCTGACATACTGACGTAGTGGTCATTGTGGTCTATAAAGTATAAAAACACTCTTTAACCAAAGGAGCTGTCCAGTCTTTGAGGAAGCTTCCTTCCCCTCCCTCTCTGTGATCACAGGCCATTTGAAGGGGAGCAATTGAAGGAGAATGAATCTGGAATACCCTGTATATTACCAGTGATTTGTGCCAGATGCCTGTTAATTATCTACTGTATCTTTGAGATCAGCAGTTTGACTTTGGAAATAGATCCAGTAAGGGATGGGACTTGTTTGCCTGTATCCCTCATACAGACTTCTCTGCAGGGATCTGGAAATGAAGATTCCAGAGGGATGTCTAGCTTGGGGGTGGGGGGAGCACCATTTCACAGATGGCAGGCTGAGGTGGAACTCACTTCCTTGCTTCCCCCTAGCATGTGGGCTGGGGAGGTACATTTGCTTCATCAAGCGACAAGTGGGTCCTCCAATGCCTGCATTCATGGCCCACACAAGTCCAGGCTCTTCAGCTTATCCAATAAAGATGTGGCCAATTTTTCACATTCCAAAAGCTTTTGGTGTTTGTACTTCTTGCTTGCCTGCCTTGCACGCTGCTCCCTACTTCCATGCCACTAACATTTCAAGTTCTGTACATGGACTGGGAACAGACATGTAGCTAAAGTGGAAGCCCTTGCAGGTTTAAGGAACTGTATTTTAACCACCACAAAGGCTCTCTTTGCTTGTAATGTGGAATGAACTCAAGTCAGTTATCAATACAGCTTAATGGGTACAATTGTATTCTGAAACTGAATCTTTGAACTTTAAAGGAAGATTTTTTCATCTGGAAATAGAGGAAATTAAGAACTTCCATAAAGGGTAAGAAACTGTCATAATAGGACCTTAAAAGAGTGGCCTTGACAGCCAGATGGGTCGTATATAAATCAAATCAGATGAAATCAGATCAGATCAAATCAAATCAATCAATCAATAAAACAACTTGCCCCAGAATGCTAAGAGAACATTAGGCTTAGCCAAAGATCTAAAATCTATTGACCATTATATCCTGTGCCATATTTCCACCAACTCAGTGGGAGTGACTTCACTGCCTGTGGCAGATTGCCACTAATTAAACTGCCCCCAGTTTCTTCCATTACATCTGACTCTAGGTGAAACATCTAGGATAAAAACTAGAAGAGTCTTCTTGGCCAGAAATAACTTAAGAATGCGTGCACCAGACTTTCCAGGAATAGAGCAGCAAATTTGCTTTATCATCTAAATCCTGTTATCTTCTAATGGAACCTAATTCCTACAATCTAGACATTATTTCTTCTGTAGTAAGTATGGATCTTACTAGCTGGATAGCTCAGTGATTTAAGCATCAGGTTGCAGAGCCAGAGGCTAGGAGTCCAGTTCCCCATCGTGCATCTCAGAAGAGCCAGCCTGTGTGGCCTTGGGCAAGCTACACAGTCTCATGATCCCCCCCAGAAGAAAGGAATGGTAAACCGCTTTTGAGTACTCTATACCTAGAAAAACTTTGTAAAGGGTCGCCAAAAGTCAGAATTGACTTGATGGCAGGCACACAATTATTATTATTAGGTATAAATCATAATTACTGCTGTAACTAATTTTATAGTTAATCAAACATGGTAAGGCAAGCATCCCTCCACCTGATGCTAGAAGGCTGGGAATGATGGGAACTGTAATCCAACCTGTCTAAAAGGCACCATCTTGGGAGAGCCTAGTCTAAGGTAAAGAAGTTCCAACCAAAATGAAGTATCATGTGTATTTTTATGTTTATATGAAAGGGAAAATATCTCTTTATTGAATGAACTGTGCATTGGATAAATTTCCTCTTCTAACAAGCACCGCTTTGGAAGAGTTTTAAGTCAGGGTGTTTTTTTTGTGTGTGTGTGCTTTTAGGAAACCTAAGGGGAAATATTATAGTACATAATATACATATAGGAAAAAAAAGTTATTCTGTCTTTGGGACATGGTGTATGTATTAGAAATAGTAAAGGATTTTCAGTTGCTTGTCTCCATTATTTTCAGTTGCTTGTCTCCATTATTTAAGATCCCATTCTAAAACAGATAAATGAAAAAAAAGTATTTAAAGAGAAAATACATTTATCAGTTTAGGGCACCCAAACTAGAATTACTAGGACTCTGTTTTCTGCCAATGGATTTAAATCTGTGTGAAAAATTGAGCAATTATTCAGTGTGCACTTAGAAAATAAACTTTTGACAGTATTTAGTTCATGAAATATAGAATATTGTGATTATCTATCAATGGAGTAACTGCTGATATATTTCCTACTTTACACAGAGATCAAAAAAATTTTGGTCTATAATAATGTCCTCATAAAAATATTAAGCGTACGTATTTTGTAGTGTCTATAGCATTTTATCCAATTGGTGTTACTTGCTGAGGAATCTTCTTTGATCCAATGAAGGCTACTTTCTCTTCATAGCACAGACAGGAGCCTGATTTGGGGCAATGCCTTCTCCCCTCAACAGCTCATCTCAATCCCAAATCTGCTTAAGACAATTGGGAGACCCTTTCAGGAAACATGGGAGTTGTTGAGGTCTTGAAGGACAGGCAGAAATTTGACCAGAAATCTTTCTCCCTGTTTCATGGATGGAAGGCTGTACTAGATCAAACATATTCCATTACTGGAATGACAACAATCAGATATGAAGCTATAAAGTAATTTTGTACAAATCATAATTGTGTTTTCTTGAACTGTAGTAAGATGTGTATGCTTTAAACACAGTATCATAACTGGATTTTTAAAATAAATGGAGCTGAAGAATTGTAGTTAAGTGCAAGTTATGGTTTCACTGTTGTAGAACCTCCTTTTTGCATGGATAAGGTTCCAGTTTTATTTCCTGATCCAAGCTGGTTCATGAAGTCTTCCTTCCAATCTGGATAGACTGAATGGCGCTACGTTGATCATAGTTGATTATTGGTAATACTGTATATCAGCTCTTATATATGGCTGTTGAAATTGGGCAACACAAATATTATAATTTCACTGAATTTCCCAGTTCCTTCAATCAAATTTAAAACAAGACATTGGCTAGAATCATACTGGTGTTTGTGTAAGATAACTTGCACAACTTACTATCGCTAATGACAGCTAACTGAGAAGGTTCTGGGGGCACAGAAGATCGTTGAATGCCTGGTCATACACCTGATTCCACAATTAAGGTGTGTTGAACAGCTTATCAATTAGTTGCATTTAGCCACAGTGAGTTATGCAGACATTTTGTGAACAACAGTAGGATTCCAGCCATTGAAATTCAATTTGGAAGTTTATTTCAAAATTCTGAATTGAAACACTTTAGATTGGATGCATTTCCTGACTGAAGCTTGCCAAAACCAAAAACAAGTGTAAAATCTCATTAAGCTCTCAACCACTAATTAACATTGCATGCTGTCAGATTTTAAATGTTAAATGCTGTCAGATATTAAATACTGTTAAATGACAAATTCTCAAATTGCATTGCATTCCAACTGAAATATACGTGCCTGGCATATTACATTTGACATACAGTCAAATGTAAAATACAGTACCAGACATTTTTTCTAATGGTGTTTTGATAATGTGCGCGTAGATGTGGGGTGTGGGGAGTTTCCAGAAACATATCTGGAGCTCCTCAGTGATAGAAACACTTCCTCAAAAGAAAGCCAAAAAATATCATAAGAGATTTTTTTTTCTACAATTCATAACTGCTGGAAAATGCTGAAAGTGTTTTTAAGGCACAGTTCTTGCTGGCTCAGTTCAGTTACAACAAAAAAATCCATGCCCACTGAACCATTTTCCAGTGAGGAAACTGGAAACATTTACTTTTGATGCTAAACAGCTATATTTCCAAATGAGATCTAAGCTTGGGGAAATGTGGCATCCTTAAACTAGTTCTGAAGATCTCAATAGGATGCAAAAAATGCTTTACAAGTGTTTTCAGGAGCTCAAATCTTAGAAGTCTTTAGGATGCAAAAATGCTTTACAAGTGTTTTCAGGAGCTCACATCTTAGAAGTCTTTGAATTACCCAAGTCTCTGTTGATCAGTACTGCACTGATACAATCAGATCTTCGTTGGTCACTGGCATTTTTGCTATGGAATTGGCTCTTAGGGAATTTCTTATGTTGTTTGGTCATTTTTGCCCATTTATTTTGCCACCTACGCTTTCCAGCTGTTCCATCTAGTCGATCTCTCCTGTCTCTTTGCCTGGAGTTCTTTGTCATGTGCAGGAACTCTTCTGGTTATCTCAGAACTCCCCATGTGCACTTTTCCTGATAGTGTTTCTCACTAACAGTAATTCAGTAATTATTCAAACACACAACCATTTAGGACTGGTTAGAGCAGTGGTTCTTAACCTGGGTGATATCGCCCCCAGGGGG